GTTATACAACATATCTAATCCACTGAAGAGAGTTTATAGCCATTACAAAAAGACAGAAAACTGGGTACTAGATCCTTCATAGCTTTCAACATAAGAGGTCTGGGATATGTGTACATGTAGGTCCTTGAAGGCGTTAGTTGTGTACACGGGTACAATGCACTTTCTTGCAAACACTAGGAGCTCCTGCATATAACTCATAGAAAATTTTAAGTCTGCAGTAAGAATCAAATTGCAAAGACTTCTTTCTTTTGGTAGGAAGCAAAGCAGGTTAGTTATCACTTTACTGATGCTCCTGGTTCAATGACTACCTGTGCATTTCAGTAACTCTTTTGTCTCATTCTTAAAACTAGAAATCTTGCAGGTACCACTCTGTTCATTGTGTGCAGTGAGTTCTGGAGTCAGATGTTGGACGTCGCCTTAGCTTCCCTGAGCCTCAGTTTTCTTGGCTGTGAGTGACAGTGATGACATGCATCTCATTGGTTGTATGGCTTAAATGAGGCGATCCCATCAAGGGCCTGGCCCAAGGGGGCAGGGAGCGTGCCTTCAGTTACTGATTTCTTTCCTTCCTTCTCTTATACGTTGCCTTAGCTTCCTTCCCAGGCCACTCTCTCCCCTCTCCTGTCTACACACCACAGATGAGGTGCTTCTTATTTTGGATGCCACTCCTCATGCCTAAGAGAAGGGAACCCTCTGTCAGGAGCATTAGCGGTGGGGATCTGGGGAGCTTGATGCCGAAGCCGTCCCTTCTCTTCAGCGTCCTACCATGGCCTGCTTACACAGAACAGGGCACAAAACTCTGCGTCCTCACTCTTCCTCATGTTGCAGTGGGAAAAGCTTCGTAAATGACCAATACACTCTAGCAAATGTGACTTAATAATGCATTTGCATTCCAGGAGCATGATGCGTAATCCAGAGACAAACAGTCCTGCACCCTCACCCTAAACACCAGATTGTGGCTGTGTGATGCATATTTAGTTCCTTCATGGTTGCAGTGAGCTTAGAACCAAGACATTGCCTTTGGCACAGCAAGCAATAAAAATACTCTCACAATACAAAGCAATCACATTGTACATACGGGCATAATTTTTTTTTTTTTTGGTCTTAGAGAATGGAACAGCAACCATCTCAACATGTCACTTTGACAACCAACAATGATTCCCAAATGGGTGAGTCTGGATTGAACACAATGTAAACAGAGACTAGGTATGTGAAGTACCTGTGTGAACTGGGGATTTGCAAACGACCACTTGAATCTTCGGTCTAGCGCAGGGCTCCCTGGTCGCCCCCTCTCGTTCTGCTGTAAGGGTGACAGGGCTGCTCTGAACCCTTCGACAAAGAGACAGCAGTCAATGGCTGTCTGGCAGCATCACTTAAAAGGTTTTCATTTTACGCAACACCGAGGACTTTCTTCTTACTCCGTCAGGCCTTTCTTGGAACTGCTTTGAAATACTCCTCCCTTGAAATGTCAGATACTCCTCCATACCATTTCTGAAGCCAGATATGTTCTATCTTCATCTTCATAAAGAACCATTCATACTGCCGAGGCCACTTCCTCATAACTGGGTGTCTGCAGAAACAAAGGAGAGGTCACTATAAAGCTGTTCTGATCACAGGGTGTGCCTCCCAGAGCACAGGTCAGGCTCCATGTATCGTATCCTTGGCCAGGTCATGTGACCCTCCAGACTCCGGGCCTCGACTAGACTGAGACCTGCTCAAATCGGCCAGCGGCAGAAGCCAGGGAGCCAGGGATGGGGTCTGGGCAGCCTTAGGAAGGCAGGAAACTGTTGTCCCCACAGAGTGGGGAACAGCTCAAGTCTTGAGTCAGGTTCCTTGGTTCGA